AGACAGCAACTAAATCCAATAAAAACTGTTAAACCGAATTTTCTGTCATTCCCCTTCTACAAGTTCTTCATGTAATACAATGTTCAAACCTAGCTATCCCTGTCTCTTAATTTAACTCTCACAATTGTTTGTTCAACATTTTGTGTTTTCACTTCCTGGCATGCCGTCCTGAATGCGGACTTCAGAGACAGATGCCTGTATACTGCGCACATGTGAGGACACTACTCATTCATTATGGAAAACAATGATGGGCAGTGTTCTCCTTTCTACTCCCCCCAAAACAGTGGGCTGTTTAGAGGGTGGAGTTGGGGTGGGTGGGGGGAGTTGAAGCCTCTGTATGCTAGATGCTTTTTCGTGATAATGCTCTGTTTAACGTTCCTGATCTCGATGGCTGTGTTCCCCCTTCTCCAATCCAGCGGGTCACACTGAGTCACAAGGCCAACCAGCAATGACAATGGCATGTTTGTGCACAGGCTGAGCTATGGGTAGGCTGTGTGATGTGAAGGGATAAGATGGCACAAGGTGGACACTACAGTCTCGTGTGTCTGTGTGTGTGTGTTTGTGTGTGTGTGTGTATGCATGTGTGAGCTGGTGTACATGCAAAACACGTGTGCATCCAGACAAGTTTTTCTGCTTTTAGAGAGAATTTCTCTCACTAGTGTATTATGCAGATCAAGACTCTTCAGGTTAGTGCAATAAACATTTTAATCTACATTCAAAAAAACTCACTCCAACATAATATTAATTTGGGTCATGACTGACAAGAGAAACGCTTCATGCAACTAGAGGAAATTGTGGTTAACGGACACTTTCAGGCTTCTACAACCCACAGACATTATCTGCAGTTATTGATTTGATAACTGGAACAGGAAAAGGAAAATATGTCATACTGCAGCTGATGCAACAATATAACAGCCATTAACCCAACCGATCAGCAATATAAACTACATGCTGTGTGGACAATAATCAGTGGAAATGAATAATAAAGACTAAAGTATCTGACATATTGCTTAGGGATAGTTGCTCATGCAGAGGCTTAGCAAGATTTACAGCAAATGATGAAATCTTCTACAAAACTAAATCTATCTCTTAATCAAATTATATATAATCTTGTTGTATTGCTAAGACCCCAACATAAAACAGTGGTACCACTGTTTTACTGTATATATTCATGATGAATGTGTCGAAAGGGAAGAGATTTTAGAGAAATGAGATATGAGAAAATGTCACCTGTTCAAACAGGGAAAGGCAATTATACTGCATGTTAAACACTGGGAATCAGACCTGACTTCTCTACAAGACCACACTAGCACAAACACTATCATATTCTATTATTTATTGTTAAAACACACCACCAACTTCACTCTACTTCCAGGTGTTTTTATGGAAACACAGCGCTGCACACCTTCATCAAAACAGGCTAACATGTTTTTGGCTGTATCCCATAATGCCTATGTGAGTATCACAGAATGCAATACATACTACATGTAGAGACCAACATCCCTTACCAGTGGGTAGTAGGCCATAGCACTCCCTCAACTACCTCCCCCACCCCACCCCACCACCACCACCACCACCACCACCACCATCATCCTCCCTCTCCACCACCTCCTTGTTGTCATATGACCGCTGTTATGTGTGTGCAGTGGAACACAAAGTTGCTCTGTTAGTCCCCTCTGCTCTGCCCTCTCAGATTTGAGTGCTGGAAGTAAGGCCCTCTCACTCATGGGCCTTAGGCAAACAGACAGGCCCCTGTATGTGACTACCAGCAAAGATTAGAAAGGAGGGCAAAGAGAAAGATAGGGATGAATTGAGCTGATGTTGTTTTATGTAACACCCAAAGATAACTTAATCCGTACTCATTCACAGAGCCCCGCCCTAAGATTTTGTTCGATTCAGCTGACAGCCGTCCTCGCTGACGCTTTTGAGTTAACTGTTGTTAAGTAATTTATTAGTCCTCTCTGCATCAGCGCCTGTCTAGAACAAATGGCTGCCAAAAACTGTCTTACAGCCGTTTGTGTGGAGATGACACTTTGTCCCAGTACCTGGCGAGGATTAAAGACCCAAAACAAACACAAGTGCTGAGCCAGCTGAATCAGAGCAATGCCCAGTCTTAACAGACACAGTGACAAAGCAGCTGATGGACTTTAGGGTGACATATTTCCTCTGTGGCTTTATAGAATATTTTATTGCAGCTGCACAATGTTAAAGATAAATTTTCATGTTAAGAATTAGGTGATAATGCTGCTTATTTATTTCCCAGAAATAAATGACATCTTCGATCAGTCGTTTTATTAAGTAGGCGGCCGAGGGAACAAGGCTACACTACAGTGGCCTCCTCCTGCAAGAGCTGTTACCTCAACAGCCACTGTCACTTTAAAACCAAGTCTGTCCCTGCTGTCCCCTGCCATTATGTCACCCAGTAGAGTGGATGTAGCAAGTAACAAAAGAGGTGGAAGGAGGTCAACTCAGCATAGGTTTTGTCACACTATTGCTCTGGTTTTTATATGCATAAATGTTACTTGAATGAGAGCACACTGCATACTACCAAACATTAGCTGTTGGAAGAGGGTTTATGTGATGCCTGTTTCACTGATTTAAGGTTGGGTTTTGTGCATTTGGCTTCACAAAACCACTTAATCAAAATCAAAGCAATCTTATGTGTATGTTCAAACGCTCTCTACAAGGGTACGATGACATTTCTTCAGTGTGTGCACATGTAGATGTTTGTGTGTGAAACTTGGTGAAGGCCCCTTATGTAAGCATGTGATTAACCTTTATATTTCACTCTGGAACCTCATCGTCCATCATTTTAAAACCAAGGTCATCAGTGACCTCTGACATTTTTGGACCTATTGCAGAGGAAAACTGAAAATTTTACAGTTTAAATGAAAAGATGAATCAGATGTAAGTGCAGCTTGCGGGGATGAATTAGAGCTTCTGTCACTGTGGATGTGACCTTACTTTGTCTTCTAATGGTTATCAAGCAGTGACTGAGACTGTGGTATAGTTGCCACTGAGAGGAGAACAGAATCACAACTAGACAAAAACCATCAAAGACACTCTGAATTGTGGATGCAAAACACAGATGGTCTTGTCTGCAAAATGTTGTTTGCATGCAAATTTAGTGCTGTGTGTCTGATGCTGGCTGTGATAATATAGGCCACAGTTGGTTTTTCTTCCAGTAACTGACATTATATAATGAAACCAATATTACATTGACTGTACTAACACCAGTACATTTAGGTTTATCAGTTTAGAGTGTAATACATGTATCAATCAAATGAATTAATATCTATGTATTTTTCGGGAAGGAAAAATACATAGATATTAATTCATTTGATTGATATGACAGTGGTCATTTTAAGATATGAAACTGATCAGAAAGAAATAAAACATGATATACCGTATGTATGTGAAGTGGTGCAAAAGCTGCTTTATCTTAATTCCAAAATGTAAAGCAATTTCTTGAGTAGGAAGAGCACATTCAACATGAAGCTACCCACAAAGGCTTATCCCATTCTGTCAGCTAAATATTCCTTTGAGTTTCTCACTAACGCCAATGGAGCGACATTACAGAGGGTTCAACAGAAGTAGCAATCTAATATTCCTGATATTTTCTGGTATCAGTGGGTGCTCAAGAGATAAAGGCAAGGAGGAATTCATCCACCATCTTTGCCTTGATTCACAGATGTCTGAGGGTCTCGGTGTGAGCAGCTGCCGGTGGAACTACCACAGACACATCCAGCATTCTTTCTGTGTCACATGCTCAGAAAATCGCTGTCTTTCCACCACCGTGAAATTATCACGGTCTTTCCCTCCTCTCTTTCATCCAATCTGTTCCAAATCTTCTCTTTCCTTCTTCTTCTCTCTTGCTCTCTGCTGCATCAACCTCCGCCCCTCTGCCCCATCTGCCTCCCTACTGTTAAACCCCCCAGCCCCTCGACCCCTCCCTGCACTGGTTCTCTCGCTCTCTCTCTCAAGCATGTAACACAAACACACATACAGTACACACAAATACACATGCTCTCCTGATGCTACACAACCCATCCCAACCCCCACTGAGAAAAAAAATTGACAACGCTCTGTTAAAAATATGAAAGATTGTTGAGGCAGAAAATGTCACAATTCATCCTTTTGCCTGCTGAGTAATGACCACACTCTGCTCTCTCCCTCTTCCCCCCTCTCACTGTTAAGACATACATTCATAAACAGACACAAACAGCTGGACACAAACAATCCAAACAAACCCCAGCTCCAGATGATTAATCAATGTCGATGTAAATTTCCTCCTGTAGAGCAGCAGACAGCAAAGCTCCACTGGCAAATCCCACAACGTTCCTGTGCCGCTGTCGGGCCACAATTTGCCCGCTTATCCCAGTGCCTGCAGAGCCAGGCTCTGTGGGATTTGTACACCTCCCACTGCACATTCACATTCAGTGTCTCGTAAAGCCAGTTGTAAGTACTGAACACCTGATCGTGTGTGATGGCGCTTTTACGCTCTCATTTCCCCTCTTTCTATTTCATAGATTATGGACAGAGCAAAGAGACATTCATGCAAACACACACACACACACACACGCACGCACGCACGCACGCACGCACACACACACACACACACACACACACACACATCTTTGATGCATCCGCTACTTGTCCTACATACATTAATTACATGGACTAAGCACTGCATTCACATAAAAGCATTCTATAAGAATCAAGGATGCTCTGGGGAGATGATGAGTCAAATTGCAAGCAAAAGATAGCAGCGTCCGTTGGCACAGAGCTAGCAGGGTGGAGGAGGGGACTGGACAGGCTGCCTGCCTTGGTGCCATCTCTGAACATCACCTTCCTCATTTTATCAGGAAAACACTCTCGCCTGCCACAGGATCGCTATAATGAACCAGCATCTCACTCCTCCTGTGTGTCCAAAGCAGGCCAGCCTTGCAGTGATTACAGAAAAAAAAAAGAAAAAGCTGTGTGAGAGTAGTCAGGCTTACCGTGTTCACAAGCCAGCATCCATTTACAAAGGATACTGCAGACAAGCCCTTGCAGGGAGAGAAAGGCTGTGTGCAGTCCACCTTTAGTCCTGCTGCTTCATCTTCATATCTTCCTCATATTCAGAGTCTCACACACACACATACACACACATGTACATCTCTCTCTCTCTCTCTCTTTCAGCGCCCCTCTTTCTCTGTCTTATTAACGTCTGTGTTCTATATCCTCTCTTGTTTGCTCCAAGGCAGTTGAGACACTGCAGCGATGGGGGTGGAGGGCGTGTATATATGTGTGCGTGTGTTTGAGTGTGTCAGAGACAGAGAGGCAGAGAGAGGGAGTGCAGGACAGAGATGGAGGGAGGAGTCAGCAGGGATAGAGAGCGAAGGGGGAAATGGTCAGGATTAAATCATGAGCGTAACAGAGAGAGGGAGAGAGAGAGAGAGAGAGAAAACAGGCTTTGATGGGGTAGCTACATCATCCAGCGTATCTTTATTTCATACAATAATGATAAAATATACATTGGCCATTAAGGAACCTGAGCCCTGCTGGCTAGAATGGAGCTGATACAGTGAGTAGATACGTTTCTTGAGGAATTATATGCTTGCTGACAGGCCAGCAGCAGGATTGGTTGTGATTTCATTGATGACTGAAAAAACATACAAGATAGGGAGAGAGGGAAGAGGAGAAGGGGACCGGCGAGAAGAGGAGAGGAAAGGAGGGGAGGGGAGAAATGACGACAAAGGAATGGGAGGGGGATTGGACGATGGTGTAATGTGCTGTTTCCGTGCCAACTGTTTCTGTGACAGTGGGACCACTTCCTTTATTGCTATTGGCTATAACCAAGAATTGATAGAGGCTTGGGCAAATGAGGCCGCATGCCATGGGGTGCGAATGGGTGGTTCTGTTCATGTGTTTCTTCCACTTCTTGTTAATCTCTGGGAACAAAAAAAAAAGGAAAGAAAAAAAATGTGTTTTGCTTGACTGAAGCTACAGAGAACACATGCATGAACACACAGAAACACAATGATCATAGTGCTGGAGCATGATGTGAATTATTGCATTGTCATTATGGATGCCACCAGTGTGTAAAGAGACTCCTCCTTTCCTCTTAACACACTCAAACATAAACACACACTGTCCAGCAGGAAAAAATCCCCAGATCAGGTTGCTCAGGGTGTGTGGTGTAATGTAATTGCCTGGACACCAAGCCTGGTGTCATGAACTGTGAGATAATTAATCGGCTATAGGCCAGCGCAAGTGCACATCTGGTGGGGGTGAACAACTTTGCCTCTCCCTGACCTTTCATCTGGGCCTTTTAATCTGGTCTGGCAGGCAGGTGGTGCATTGTCCCCATTCTTTCTCCCTGTCACTCCCTGTCACCTTCTCCATCACTATACATCTCTTTATATCTATTACCCCATTCAATGCATACTGTATCATTAATTACCTTAAACAGCCGCTCAGTCTTAACACACAGTCACTTCCTCTTTAGCGGCCATTTAATAGTGCAGAAATGTATCATCTCTCAGTTTCGGTGTTAATACACCATCTGAACTTCTCAAAAATTAATAACAGAAACTACAAACAATAGTGCAATAACATACTGTACCATATGTCAGGTGCAGAAAACTCATATCTGCCACCAAAACCACCAGAAACCCACACTGAGATATGTCCACCTGCATTGATCATATTTAAACCCATCTGACAGTCAACAGAAAGCCATTTTTTCAAAGCCTTTTTGGTTCATGGATGATAACATGCAAAGATAACAGCTGTTCAGACAAAACGTCACTGCTCCATAGCCTTGGCTCTGAATAAGGTCAGTGTTTCCACTTAGGCTCAATAGCTGTTGTTGACATTTAATCTTAAAATGTCAAACATGTGACGGCCCTACCTGACAATGTCACAAAGGAGATAAATCTCCAGGTGTCGTAGAAACATTAGCATTACACATGCCATGCTTTGATGTGTTTGAATACAAAAAAGTTTCAATCTCTGTATCTCTATCTTAACTACAAAGATCTTAATGGCTGAACACAAAGCAGCAGTCAGTCAAGTTCCTCATAACCATAGGTGATAATAATATGCCATGTTGCTTCCCTTTTGAAAGGTTTTCAAAAATTCTTCAGTCTAGCATTGTTACACAAAATTAAGACTCTGCTGGTTAGCTATTCAGTAACTACAATTCTTGCCAGATTGCCTTTCCTGATTGCAAAATTGCAGCAGCAAAAATGAAGAACAAAAGATCATACCACCACACCCATGTTAAGTAGCTCACACTGGTTGCCTGTTAGTTTTAGAATTGATTTCACTACTAAAGCCCAGCAGGGTTTGTCTCTAAGCGACATATCAGACTTAACACTTCATGAGCTGCAGCAGAGCCCGCTCCTTTGGGAGAACTTGGTTGGTAACAGAAGGAGACCGAGCTCCCTCAAGAAAGCTGAAGCTGCAAGATCTCTAAAATCACCACAATAAATTATAATGTTATTTCTAATGCACTTTTAGGTCTTTTTATTGGTGTGGTAATTTACTTGTTTTGTAATTCACATCACTGACACTCCCTATTCTCTGTCTTTTGTTTCTTGAGATATTCTCTGCCAGTGCCTTATGACCCTTCTTTCTCCTTCAACATTTCTCCATCCCCTTCACTCTCCATAACCCTCACTATCCCTTTTTGTCTCTCCCAGATTGTCTCTGTGCCTCTCCCAGCTTCCTGTCTCCCTAATCCTTAATCCTGTGGAAATCGGTCAGGCAGAATGAGCCAGCTTTGATCAGGCTCTCATATCAGGCGTGCTAACAGTGTCAGCACCCCCGGATCCCACAGAACCCTGGAGCCCAGGGGGAGAGCTTCAAACAGGCGTTCACCCCCCGACTCTGCTTGAGAGGAAGGGGAAAGGGAGGCTGTGGAGTTCCTGTTTCAACTGCCAGCCACAAACTCTGACATCAAGTCAAGAAAGTCATTTTTTTAAATTTAGCAAACATTTGCATTGTGATTTGACACCACTTATAAACTAAACTTGCTGTGTGAATAGAGATCAGCAGCCAGTGTAAAACCACATGCACCTGAGAACAGTCCACAGTACTGATACATGAATGTCACTTCTGCTTTTGTCAATGGTGTCCATGACAGCAAGCATGGCATCTGTGTCGCTGGTGTTTTGGTATTGTGATCCACAGCCAGGGATAATACTTGCTGGAGTGGGAGGCATGTCGCGAAACACCTGGTGATCTTGTGGCACAAATGCATCATTAAAGGTCAGCTTTGTACACAGTTAGGGGAAAAGAAATACACAAACTGAAATGTGCCAAAGCGATTTCTGCTTTGTGCCCATATTTTTGTTCAGCCCTGAAGATATGTTTGGAATGGTCACTGCAATAGAATAATTCAACAAACACGCTGCCTTCACATCAGGTTAGTGTTTGAGGAGGGTAACCTTTTTAAAAATCATTGCATTCTTTTAATAATTGATTGTCTCTGTATGCAGATGTGGAAAGATTATCCTATAGATTAGGATTGTGTCAAAGAGTAATTCAGACAGCATACAACCTTGCAGAACCAACAGAAATTGTACATAAAGGTTTTCTCTTCTCACAACCACATGACCTGGAGGTTTGAGCTCTCTGCAGATCTACAACAATACTGACAGTGTACTCAGTCTCCCCATTTAATCAGTTCGGAAGTGTAATCAGGTGCTTTAAATCAGCCAGAGAAATGAAGCATTTAGCCGAGCCAGTCTGCCGGATGTGCAACATCTGATATGTGACCACCTGTTATAATGAGCTCTATTCTTAAACTGAAGATGGTAGAGGGAAAACTCATAGCACTGTTGTCATTATCCTGGTTTATAAAAGGTTAAAGTGAGGTGTAAATTTTGCAAACAGGACCTACATCGTGATGTGGTGTCTGCATCAATTATTGCACCAAATAATGGAGCAGATGAAGTTCTTATATGGCTAGAACAGTAAATTCCTCAAAGTGGAAGTACCTGAATAAAAAGATAATATATATCATATATAAATCCTCTTTTTTTGTAGGACTCACTACCCTTGCATGCTGTAGCCTTGACTACCTTTCCCAAAGTAAATGCTGACATCTAGTGGACACATCTATGTTCTACACTGTTTCTGTGGTCTATTTGAATACGTTTTTGTTTTGAGCACAAAAAGGATTTATTAAAAAAGTAATAGGATTTATATGAGTTATAAATTAAATTATTAACATTTTTAACACAAATTCCTATCAGTGCAACATCAAAATAGGGAATTTCAAATTAAGTTAAAAGTGAAAGACTTCTTATTGGTATTTCCTTTGTAAAAAATGTAGCAGTGGACAGATTACTTAAATCTCTCATTTATTTACTTAATGATGACTACACCCCTGTGCTTATCTTAGTGCACTTTACACACAACAATTCGGCTATTATACTGTTATCTACTTTCTTACAGCTATTTTTATTTACACTTACATAAGCAACACCTTTTGTCACAGATATAGAGACCAGTGTTCTTCTCAGAGGCTCTAATGTAGTTCATGAAGTATCCCCAAAAATGTAGTTATCTCTATTAAATTGCATACTTTCTGTCATTTCTGATGTTACTGTGTATGAGTATCATGACACTCCTTATTACAAAGCTCTCCTTCAAAATCACAGAACATTTAGCTGTTCATTGGCTGAAAGCCTTGAACACTGAGTAAGTGTTGCTGATAGCAGGTTAACTGGTAGTTCATTCCTGTGTACGTCCGCTTCAAGTGATTGACACTCCAGTCCCAGGTGACTAATTAAATCTGCCAAGGAGGTTATGCTTTCACCCTTGTCTGTTTGTTTCTTGGTTTGTTCATTTATCAGCTGGATTATGCAAAAAGTACTGAACCGATTTGCACTGAACTTGGTGGAGGGATGGTGCATAGAGAGGCCAGTGAAGAACCCATAAAATTTTGAATTTTTTTATCTCGGAATTTTGGTGTATGTTATTTGACGTTAGCCTTGACAGAGGTATGTGCTCTTTGAGTGACCCTTTCACTCATGTTACTTTGTCTCTTTGTATCTCCTGAAGGAAAAAGCAATCTCTCCAGCTGATGTGTACAACAATTTGATGGGGTGTGGAGTTTTTTCAAACTGACCCTGAAGTAGAATACACCACAAGTACAAAGAGTACAGACTAGCCTCTTCTTTTTTTTAAGGAGTGAAAGGCTAAACTGTCTCTAATAGATCTAAGGTAGCACTACTTTTTTGTCACAAGGTATCTCAGAGCAGGTTGATGGATGCTGAGCAAAAACCTTAGTTGTCCTTGAATTAATAAGGCCTTTAGTTAATGCTGTTCCTGTATCTTGTGAATATAAGGCTCTGTGGCTGAGAACAGATTGTACATAATCTGTAAGAAAAGCAGCTCTTTGCAGACTTTGGTAATCCCCACACTCTTTGGCTAGAGGGAATCCCGATGACCCCTTTCTAAACCCTAATGCCATCTTTATCTACAGGAAAGACAGTGTCTCGTCTGGCATCAGCTAAGCCCTAATAGGAAAGTTTTCTATTGTCCAGCACAATTATTCATTCCACTGGACTTAAATCGCTGTGTAAAACTTTCCTCAGATCAATACACACATTTAACTGTGGCAATGGTGGCAGGGAAAAACAAGGCTTTCCTGCACTTTCTATTTGTGATTTAGACTTAATCAGGGTGGGAAATTAAAAGCTTTGCATTGTTATACCCACAGGCCTGTATATTGACGATTTGCAATGTTCACATGGGTTTAAGCAGACCCAAATGAGGGTGTGTTTTGTTTTGTTGTTGTTAAAAATATCACACTGAACAACAGGGATAAGATAGAAAAATTACACATAAGCACTTATAATTAGCCTTCTTTACACTGCATTTGGAGATAGAGATAAAATCTTCAATAAACTGACACTTGAGATTTGTGAGTTTATACCTAGATTCAAAGATGAATGCTGAGACTTGTCATTTAAATTGATATGTAAATGCATACACAGATCTGTAAATGTGTAACCAAATTTTAAATATGTAATAGCAGCTTGTTTTTGATATGACTCCATTTTAGATGCTCTCAAATCTGCATCTGCATATCTGAAGGCAAATCTTTCTGCATTAATGTGAAATTATGCATTCATGAGTCTAAGTACACATTGTCAAATCTTGGTGCATTGCACACTCACAAATTTCTTGTCAGGTCAGGTCCTGACCTTGTTTCTGACTCCTGTCGACTTCTACAAACCGTAAAGTAGATCATTGAGAAGGATTTCATTGACACCTATGATTTTCTCTAATGACACTGTTCAGATCAAAATTTCCCACAACCAACCCTTTAATCCACAAAAATGTATCTCAAAAACATAGGAATTTTATGAGATTTGCTGTTGAGAGCGATTCTGAATGTATCTAATGGTTATTTGATTGTTTCTCTAATGTCACTATCACACTAGCATCTCTACTTGACCTCAAGAAATCTAATGGGCAGATTTCCATTAAATTTATTGACCACATTCATGCTCCGCAGAGAACATAGCATTTCTGTTTTAGACTCTCAGCCTTTAGGCCCATCTTCAGGTCAAAATGTCAGTTTTAGACACTTGATATAAAAAGTAAAATCTAGATCTGGCTGACATTTTCTGTAGACTTTCATGATTCCTGAAGGATGAATACAAATATTTTTAGTGACCCCCCCACCCTGACCTTTCCTCTCTGTTCACCATCTGGGTCTAAATATCCACTTGAAGCTGTCAAATTCAGATGGGCAGATAGCCAGTGAATTCACGGAGCACCTTTATTATATGCTAACTAGAGAATAAAAGTTTCTGTCCGCCTTGCATGTTCAATCAAAATGTCAACTTTGCACACATACGGTATCTCATAATCTGACCAGTATATTGTCTGTTATGAAATTACAATGAATATGGTTGTTGAGACATTTCACGATGAATCCACCATGTTAACATCATAATGGTGCTAGGGGAAACATTAGGGGGTCACCAAAGTCAGTACACTTGACCCCCTGAAGACCATGAAGGGCTGTACAAAATTTCGTTTAGTTGCTGTTGAGATATTTCAGTCTGGACCGACTTTTGAAACCAACTGATTTTCATTGCTATCCCTAGAGCCATGCTGCTAGTGTGGCTAATAAAAATTGTATGTTGTTTGCTCTGTCCAACACTTTTACACTGAGGGGTGTAGCCTGGGGGTGTTAGTGTGGCTTTGGTCCAGTTGGCCTAAGTGAGGAATCACAATGTGTGTTTACTTATTTGTGTGCACAAAATCTCCGGGAGAGCTGACCAAAATTTCATGGCAGGGAATGATAGTCTGATTAAGACATGTCAACAATAAGGATGATTGATTTTATGTAGCCTAACTGTAGATATAATAATAAGCCAGCACAGCTTGAGTGTGGTGATTGGCTACAAGAGCTCTCACTCAAAGGCTCAACCATCTTGGGAGAGCTTTACAAGTAAAGCTTCCCACACTGGAAAAACTTGGATATCCAGTGATCAATAAATATTGTAAGGACAAAGTCCCTATTTATCAGTGAACCCTCTTGTGTACAATAGAAAATTGTGTCCTATTACTCATTCTAGCACATTCTGCAGTCAATGCAAATTGCCATTACAAGACTAATGAGGGCTCTACTCTGTTTAACTAATGGTGGCATTGCAATGCTTGTTTACCTTTCAATACATCATCTGTGACATCATGACTGCAACTGCAGTTGAATCTTTTTACCAAATATGGGCGAATGATGAATGGGGCAAAGATGGATCCAGAATCTTTGTAATTACACTAATTAGCCCGAATGGGTGCAACACTCATGTATGCCTACAGCAATAAAAAAAAAAAAAAAAAAAACATTAAAAAGGGGGGAAAAAATGTAACTTAACATTTTTACAATATATTTTAATTCACTGGCTTATTGCAACACACCATACTGTTTTAGGTTAGTTGTTGTATGGCTGTTAGGCTTAGTGTATTTTGTTGTGTATTGCAGCCTATATTAGCCTATGTGTCTTTTCACCAGAGGTCCTCAGACATGGGCTGATTTAAATAACCTGTTACAGATTGTAATCAACTAATTGTCCAGATAACTCTGTAAAACCATATTTGTAACAGACAGCATATCCATCACTAATTCTTTGCAAAATAATATATAAAGCGCATGCTATTTATACAGTTTTTCTTTTTATAAACCAAAGTATTCACATCTAATTTGTTCACAAAATGTTATTTCTATTACCCGTTTCCTAATATTATTGAGGGGTTGTCAGTTTTTTCAGTATTTCGTCAGAAAGTAAAATCGTGTAATTTAGCTGTTATTTAAATGTCTTAATTTACAACCACAAATTAAATTTTGTGATCGACGTAATGCTCACGGCTTTGGTTGTAGACGTGTGTGTGATAGGCTGCAATGCTGGCAGCTGAAGGGAAACCATTGCAAGCATTTCATTTTCACAAAAACATTTCAGTGCACGTCCTACTTGTAAACCTCTACAGCAGGGCGATTTTGCGCGTTCCCGCGACTCTCGCCATAGAAAACAAAGCTGAACGTCTTCCATAACAGCTAGGGGTGCAGACTTGAGGAATATCCGAATTTATTCTGGATACATCATGCTGAATATGGATTTACAGTGGGTGTAGCATCGTTGGAGACCGAGCCTTCTCGGCTGGGGTGACGGCAGGACATTAGCGAAACCGACGAAAATAACATCAGTGTGTTTTTTTCTCGGGGTGCTTTGTCTTGTCCACCTAACGATAGCAAACCATCATTCCCATTTCAATTGCAAGATATTCAGCTAGTGATCACTAGCTGCTGCCGGGATGTATCATCATGTTGTCACCTAAAAGTAACTGCTAGGACATCGGATTGTGAAGGAAAAGCAGAAAAACCTCGCCGAGGTCCCAACGGGTTGTCACCGGGACCTGAATCTGTGTTAGCCACAGTCGCAGAACCCACTGTTTTCGGCGATATGGCGGAGCAGGGCTACTCATCTTGGTGAGTGCGCACAGGCATAGCACTACCGAATAGCAACAGCTAACGTTAGCTGCTACTACTGCCAAGCCTGATTGATATAGGTCACTAAACCAATGAATTATTTTTCTGACAATTCACAGAAATACTTTGCTCTTTACGCCGACGCTTTTAGATACATTCATCGCCGTATAGAGAGCAAAATGTCACACATCTAAGTATTTTTCCTGCAGCTCTGATGTTGCTAACAGCTAACTTGAGCTGGATGTTTAGCTAGCAGCCCTACCAGCTGATGCTAACGCTAATGGCTTTGGTCAATTCCAATGGTGCTATTGTGAGTGAATGCTAACGAGCTAGCTGCCTCGCTAACGGCTCGTTAAGCTTATTGGGTTAGCAAGTTGGTGAATGAACACTTCGCTCATATCATCAGCGTTTGCTATCTGAAAATTGTAATTTTGTTTAATAATCGCAACGTTGCATGACGTTGTGGGGCAGATTAGTGGACGTTAGCTGTGCCAGTAAATTAACGTTAGCTGATTAAATGGCTAGCAGTCGTCGTCGTCCCGCTGCACACAATAACAAAGGTTCTGCCGTAGAGCTAGGCTAGCTAACTGGCATCGCAGTTATGTACCAAAATGCCAGTTTCAGCGTGAGCTTGGCATTGTGACACACGACAGGTTGGTACGAATCGAGTTTAAAGAGTTGTGGGGTACACTCACTGGTTAACGGTATAGTTGATTTTTAGTGTTTGGTGAAGAACAGACTAAATGAAACCAGACAGAGATGATGTGATCACTGAATTGCGTTGTCCCCATGAATGAAAAGGAGCTGACTTCGTTGAGGCCTTGCTAATTAATGAAGGCTGAATTGTGCCTGTTTGATCCACGGGTTGAGTGTTTGTAATGATCGTTTATAGAACAAACAGTCCTATTATTTATGAAAAGTCCAAACCAAAGATTCTCCAAGACCAGAGTAGGCTCATTGAATGGTAGGGGTCCACAGAGATGCAGTGTAGTGATCGTATAGGTTTGTCTGACTCTTATTTTATGTCAACATTTTTTGTGACTTTCTATTTCTCTTTGACCATCTTTATATTTTTTTGTCACCAGTTGTATGACTTTTATTGCAAGAAATTGCATACAGGAAGAGAAGTCCAACCACTGCAGAATTTCCACTTTGATGTAGGATTAAGCCAAAGACTTCTTATTAACACAGACATGTCACATTTATGAACTTTTAATTCGTCGTCTGCTTCATCTGGTGTATTGATACAGTTCTATTTATGTTATATTTGACTTGCATGGCGTGAGGTTAGGGGGCAGCTTTTATCACATCCATTTTAACTATCAATATTCAGCTGGAAGGAAACAGCAGTAGTTTTATCTGGGAATTCCAACTGCCAGCCATTGTTTAGGAAAAATCTATCTGCTGGGTTCAGTTTTTGCTCCCCAGAGTTATCCTCTAACATTTATTCAGTAATATTTGGGTGATGTTGATTTTTCATTGTTCTTTTTGAGAGGTTCCGTGTATTGTTTGAGGTGGTAACTGGAAAACTGTTTACACGTGACGGCCTCATAGACACTGTCAAAATACAAAATGATTGTAGTGTGAGTGTAGTGGATAAGTTTGTAGCCAATAACAGGTGCATTTTTAAATTTTCAGGATGGAGTAAAAAAGGGCTCTGCCTAAAACCCCAAACAGAGTTGATCTTATGTTTATTTGACATTTTAGGTTTTTCATTGGAAAAGTTTACATGGAGTTCAAATTTTACATTAATGGATTGTGACAGACATTTTCAAATGATCAGAGGACAATGACACAAACCCCTAAAGATGCAGCTTAGGGTCCAATTTAGACTTATACATTTGGGCTTTTACATATTATCAATACTTGATATTAATAAGAATTGTCATCTTGATTCTTCTTGATTCTACTTATAGCTTTTGCCAGTCTTGCTTAAGTTGGCAGGAATTCGGGTTGCCTTTCAACTTGCTGGGTAGATCACTCTAAGGATGGCATTTACACCTGGCTTAAAGCTGATCACAGAGCAAAACAGACTTTATCTGAATGTGGTCAAATTGATCTGATTGCATTCCTATTGCAATGCATTCTGGGTGCATTTACACCTGCTATTAACATATGTTTTTCCTTATCCAGATACAGATCATATTTCATTGCCAGGTGGAAATACTTTCTAAAATAAAAGGGGTTTTGACTTGGTAAGCCAAACTTAGCACAAAGGGAATTACAAGGAAAAGCAACTATGCTCCATCAAAGAGAAAAAAAGAGAAATCTACTGTCCAGCAGCTTCAGAATTGTCTTGTATACATATTTTAGCTTCTAGTGTTTGTGTTAAGTTAGACTAAACATGCCTTGAGTCATTGATTGTATGGAGCATATTAATATTAAATTAGGTTTAGGATTGCAAGTAATGATTATTTTCATTATCGATTAATCTTTTTGATTCATAGATTTGCTGTAAAATGCTTTATAATGAATTACAGTTCCTCACAGACCAAGGTGACATCTTAAAATGTCTTGCTTTGTCCGACCAATTGTCCAAAATCCAAAGATATTCATATTACAGTCATTTGTAAGAAACTATATTTCGTATCTCAGATCTAACAAATATTTGACATTTTTGATTAAACAGAAATGACTGAAACAACCGTTTGATTATCAAAATAGTTCTCGATTAACGTTCTGCCGCTTAGTTACTAAATTAATTGACTAATCAATGCAGTTGTATGTAAGGCTGACCTTTTCATCTAACATAGCCTGTGAAGATAACAAACGGATGTAGTTCTTAAAATGTTGGTGTATTAAATAACCCAACCTCCCCTACAGAAATAAATCCTGCCTGATTCAGGCTTGAGTGTGTAGTTGTTTGTGTTATTGTGCAAGCTAAGCAGAAAAATATTAAGGACAGTGACCATCAATTGTGCCAGAAATAACCTAAATGTCACTGAGGAGCTTCAGAGATGAATAATGAGTAAAGGCACCGTTATAGTTGACACTAAATCGAAGCTGGAACGTTCACACTGGCACCATTTTTGCTTTTCAACCAAACTGTTAAAAATATCGCACAGCTTTTCACACTGTTCCTCAAAATACAGTCATCTGCAGTTATACAACAGTGTCAAATGACTGGTTGCTTTCCTACGTATGTCCTTTTAATTTGAATCAGTGTCAGGTGAGACATAAAGTTGCAGGCTGTTAAACAGAGCTGAAGCTGACAATGTTCGAACCAGGAAAATACCTGTAATATTGCATTCAGCGTGCTTATAAGTGTGGTCGAGAATTGCTGATGGTGTTGCAGCTGCTTTGTTAATTGTGCCACATCATCCAACTTCATTACCTCTGTATTTTTGTGAACATCACCTGGTTAGTAAATGGGGTTTTCACTTCACATCTACACCAGTGAGGTAAAACAGCTCAATAACCATTATATTTGATAATCCGCTATATTTCTGTTTTTTTTTAACAAAGGATAACATAGGATATAATGTAAAAAATTGTTTGTAAATGTTATCTTTGCCAATTTTGTCTTTTTTGTTATTCTGCCCTTGTCTCTGTCACTGTTTAGCAGGACAGGAGGTGCAAAACTGCCTCCAGACTGCATCAGATCAGAGGACTTTAACAAAACTTGAAAGCAGAAATACAAACACCCACAGATTTGTGACATACCTTCTTAGTAATAAGGAGTAGTTCTGCTTAATTAGTATTTGATAAAATGCCAATCAGTAAGCACAGGCATAAATAATGTACTTTCCAGTATAAGTGGTATTTGGCTAAAGGAAGTTGCAAGTTCTGCTGTGTACAATTAGATTTAGAACTACTGTATTGTGGCCTGGATAAATTGCAAATAAGTAAACCACAGCAATCGTTATTTAGCTTTGTGGTTACCCACGGGCTAATGTACAGCTCTGAAGATGTCTCATTTGAAAGCTGGCAAGTTGTAGTTTGGCGCTGCTTTGAACAGCCTTCACAGCAGCAGGTAGCTTTACAGCTTGTTTGATTCCCAGCGATACGTAAAGCACTTTTACCTTCACACTGGTGATATGTGATGGTGAAAGGAGTAGTTTTCACTTAGTTTCACTTCCTCCAGTTTTCAGTCTTTTGCATGTGGTTAGTTTAGAACATCTCAATCCTCACATTAAAGGTGAAATGTGGTGCGCACTGAAGTTCATCTTGCAACTACACAGTCACATAAGCATGTCAGGAAAGAGCAGACCTATGCAATTGTCATGTAGTATTTCATTTTACTTGACCATCCAGGCAAATGTCAAATGCTGTGTGGAACTTCTCTCTATGTTTCAGCGTGGTGAATCTCATCATTTAAAAAAACACTCCCCTCGATCCGTTAAATTCTGCTATAATTTGCCACCACAGAGAGATCCAGTATAACCATTGTAAAATATTGGCCCTCATTCAGTGTAATATTCATTCATAATTTTTGCTCTAGCCATTGTTTTCAACCAAATCGCTGTGACTCTGCTTTGGTTTAGCATCTCAGTTATCGGAGAGCCAAATGGTTCAAACTTAGTTATCTTCAGGCGTGGTTGTACAAGTGTGATAATGTGGCAAGTGCACACAATTATGTCCTGTAAAATTTCGATTATGACTGAGAAAGAACTTGATGATGTGAAGAGGGAGAGAAGTGGTAGGCATGACGATCATGTCAACAATCGAAGGTAAATATGATGTGATCCTATGGAGTAATTACTGCTGTGCTGTGGGCAAAGATCTTCTCATCAAAACCTACCTTTGTTGATTGTAATGAACAAATGCTTAAAGGCATGCATGTTGTAAAGTTACCAAGTCTGTCTTAACTAAATCTTTCTGTTGGGTATGAAAACTTACCTGTTCACACTAGGTGACAAATTGACAAAGACTGTCCATTACATTACATTACAGCACTGGGATTGTTTTATTGTAACTAGTTCTTGTCCAGTCTAATGTTGCAGACTCCTGCAGCATTAGAATCTCTTTGTAACACACAGGTAGACAAAGGCGTCCCCTGA